CGATATAAAAGTACTTTACGTCTGCCATAAATCTCCTTCGATCCTCTGGGTTCCAATGCGGTGGCATTTATCCTGTTGCAAGATAATTACATATATCAGCATACCAAGAACAGACATAATGAATTGAAAACAAATGCTCATCGGGGAAGGAATCAGGGATAGGAATATTCTCATCAGTCTCTTGCACCACCAATCGGGACAAATGGTCCACCACCACGTTCTCCATTCCCTTCTTATCTTTACTGATAAGATTGAACTCTTTGAGTAGGAGGATCCACCTGATAAGTCTTGGTTTGGCATCTTGCTTAGACAACAGATACTTCAAAGCACAGTGATTAGTGTACACCACTATCGGTGAACCAATGATGTAAGAATAGAATTCGCCTAATGCAAATACTACCTCTAGTAGCTCCTTTTATGTGGTAGTGTAATTCATTTGAGCCTAATTGAGCATTTTTCTAGAGTAGTATATTACATAAGGCCTATTATCCTCCCTTTGACTGAGCACTGCACCGACAGTGTAATCACTCGCGTCGCACATAAGCTCGAAAGGTAAATCCCATTTGGGTGGTCGCATAATCGAAGGTGTGACAAGCATACTTTTGAGTTTTGTAAAAGATGTCTCACAATCATCCGACCACATAAATGGGATATCGTTAGATAATAAACTTGTCAAAGGTCGGGCCAATGTGCTAAAAAATTTTATGAATCGATGGTAAAAACCTGCATGGCATAGAAACGACCTGATATCCTTGGCGACACTTGGCATATGAAGGTTGGAGATGGCCTCCACCGTTGATTTGTCCACTTCTATTCCCTTCACCAAAATAATGTGCCCAAGAACAATCCCTTATGTCACCATAAAGTGACTCTTCTCCCAGTTCAAGACTAAACTTTTCTCTTTACACCTCTCCAACACTTTCTCCAAATTTTCTAAGCAGCCACTGAACGAATCCCCAAAGATCGAGAAGTCATCCATAAACACCTCAACAATCTTTTCCACCATATCACTAAATATCCCCATCATTCAATGTTGAAAGGTTTCGGGGGCATTGCATAGCGCAAAAGGCACGCGACTGTAAGCAAAGGTACCATAGGGACAAGTGAAGGTGGTCTTCTGTTGGTCTTCCAATGCAATCTCAATTTGATTATAGCCGGAATATCCATCTAAGAAGTAATAGAATAGATGCCCCACTACTCGTTCTAACACTTGGTCAAAGAATGGCATTGGGAAGTGGTCTTTCCTTGTGCATAAGTTGAGCTTGCGGTAATCGATGCACACTTTCCATCTAGTGATTACCCATGTTTGAATAAACTCATTATCCTCATTTGCAACCACCGTAACCCCCGACTTCTTGGGTACTACTTGCGTGGGGCTAACCCACTTACTATTGACAATCGGACAAATGATGCCCACGTCAAGTAGTTTCAACACCTCGTCCCGCACCACCTCCTTCATGATGGGGTTCAACCTTATTTGTGGTTGTCGGGATGGTTTGGCGTCCTCCTCAAGATAAATACGATGTGTGCAAATAAGGGGGCTTATACCTTTTATGTTGGCAATTGTCCAACCAATAGCCTCCTTGTGTTTTCTTAACACTACCAATAGGTCTTCTTCTTGTTTGATCTCCAAGGTTGAGCTAATCACTACAGGAAAAGTCTCACCCTCTCTGACAAATGCATCCTTCAAATGGGTTGGCAGTGGCTTCAACTCCAAAATGGGCTTCTTCTCTTTTCACGGAAAAACATTCTTGTCATATATTGGGAGCTTTTCAAATGTAGGAGTCCATCTCTCTACCCCTTTCACACTTTCCAATTATGTTGGCCCATCAATCTCCTTGCTTGATTATTTTTCTTGTTGTTTCCTAACCTCTAAACATCACCTTTTAGCATGTATAGAATATGGATGAGGGGAGTGTCACTCTCCTATGGGTTATGTCCCAAGAAAGGGCAAGGACATGGGGGAAAATGAAATGATGGTAATGTGATGTGTAAATGCACAAAAATGTGTGTGTGTACAAAAGTGCTTCCCAAGCGCAAGGGACTTTCACGGGTCGTGTTTTACTTGGTGGTATTCCAAGGTCGTTTCCACGGGGAAGGAATTAAACCGAAGGGAAGGTGATTTTGGGAGAAAGAAGGTGTAAAATCTTAGGTTGTTGGAAGTTGTTAGTGAAGTTTGTTTGGATGCTAATAAAATGAGAAACAAATGTTGGCAAATCCAAGAGGTCACTCAAGTAGGAATACCGTCTCAACTCGAAAACCTCTTCCAATAGAGCATGAATGAACAATTGATTCATGGGAAGGTAGGGATAAGATTGGTGAGTATCTAAGCATAAACTGTGACTAGGCCTACGGAATATCAAAGACTCACCAATTTATCCACACTCAGCCCAGTCAAATCGAACCATTGAACTCTGAAAGAAAGGAGGAGAATGAGTTGAAATGGTATACCCAAGTGGAGGTTCCCCTTGGTCTTGCCAACTAAAAAATTTAGCTACTTATGCTTAAAATGAAATTGACAATGTAATGAGAATGCATTACAAAGATATAAAGTTCTAGAGTAACTACATACAAGAAAACAGAAGCTATAAGAGAGTATATTGAATACCCAATTGAAAACTAAGAAAATGAAAAACTTTGATGCATTAATGGTGAAAGCTTTAAAAGAGCATTAAACTTGCATTTAACTTGAAGGAAAACAACATTAATGACATTAAATGAAGTTCTAAAGATTTATACATGGGATTACAAGACAATGTATTGAATGAAATGCAAAAATCTCAATTTTTTCTTACTAGAACACTATTCATCATCTTCTCCAGACTCTCTCTCTCTATATTTGTGTAATGTGTAGAATCCTGAATAATGGAGTCATTTTAGCCCCCAAAAACGTCCATAGTCTCCTGCCTCTTGTTAAATGATGTGATTACCATCCATAGGGACTGCATGATGTAGACTGGGACCAGCCTGCACTCTTCTCTCTTCCAAGCTTCTTCTCGCTCCTCTGCATTAATGTCCAAGCATCATAAAGACCAAGTAGGGGTGTGGGTGGCCTCCCAGACATGTAAGGAATGTTAGGAGACTTGATGGAGTAGTGCAAATGGGACCCCCAAGCAACAGAGTTGAGTTATAGGCTGTCTGGGAAATTTAGAAAAAACATTCCAGAAGGTCGACATAAAACCTTCCGGAAGGTGTGTGCAGGAACAATTAAATGAAAAGGTCAGCAGACAAAACCTTCTAGAAGGTCGACATAAACCTTCCGGAAGGTTTCTGCAGGAACAGTTAAATGAAGGGGTCAGTGGACAAAACCTTCTAGAAGGTTCATTCTAGTAGACAAAACCTTCCGGAAGGTTTCACTCCAGTGGACTAAACCTTCTGGAAGGTTCATTCCAGTAGACAAAACATTCGGGAAGGTTTTTGACCAACTTGAATTTTCTTGGTTTTTCTTGGTCTCTTAACCCTATAAACCTTCCTTTAAGCTAGCCCTTCCTCATTATTGACCTCACCCACTTCAATGGGGTTTAACTCATGCTATTTACATCATTTTGCCTGCATTTGCACAAGATTCCAGCAAAACACAAGTTAAACCCAGATCTCCCCAATTTCACGACAAAAGCAAGTATAAGAGGCATATTAGTGCACAAAATATGTCATGTTTTTATGCTAATCACACCCCCCCTAACTTGAGCTTTGCTGGACCCTAGCAAATATTATTTCCAACCACAAGCAATAAGTACATAACCATTCATCTATAAAACCAAATATCACAAGAAGCAAAAATCACAATTCGAAATCCAAAAATCCCATTGTAATTAAGGGAATAACTTTGAGCAACGTTAAACGACCAATTTTGGTATTTCATTAATTACTTTCAGAAAATTATGTACAATGTGTTCAAAATCGTAAGCAAAAGATGGCCAAAACCTAGAGGCATCTCTACAGGCCGACACTAAAAGCAACCCTAACTGCGTATGATCATAGTTCACCATAACCTAAAACTCTCAGTCCTCCTCCTCATCAAAAGCATCCTCATTCTCTGTCTTAGACTCGAACTCTGAATCCTCCTTGTCCTCGCTATCCATTTCAATAGTCACTATGGGTATGGGAATAGAGGTCGAAGGTCCAGTATAAGGCTATCGGGGTCGTGGTCCTCCAAGGATAGGCCTTCCCAAGAAAGTATGTTAGAAAAGTTGCAGCATCATCTCTGAAATCCCATGCACTGTCAACTCCAGAGCATCTACGCGTTGTCAACTCTAGAGCATCCATCCACTGAGACATTGTACGAGCTGGGGTAGGTGCAGATAGTGGGGGTGTTGTAGATGATGTTCCAACATTAGATGGTTGTGCCCTTGGTGCCTCAGCTCCCTCAGCCCCAGTCCTGGAAGCCCTCTTCAAGCTGCTGGACTTTCCTATGGCTCTAGTCTATGGGGGGAGCAGTGTATCATGAGCACAGTGCTTCATGTTGGCTTGGTCACATAACTTAGTGACTAGGCTACCAAAGGGAAGGTTTGCCTTTAGCTTTGCAGCCTGGGCAAACTCCCTCATCTCTAACCAAATGAAGTAAGCAACACCAATGGCAACCCCAGTCATGAATGCGTGTAGTAAAAACAACTTATCCTTGTTTGGGTTATTTTTTGAACCTCGAGGCATTAAATTATAATGTAGCACCTTATTTATGATTCCATATTTATGCCTGAGGCTCCCGACCAACGTCGTTCCCATGAACGTAGTCGGGTCCTCATAAATGAGGTTTACTTAATCCTGGAGGATCCTACTCTCTTCCACATTGTGTGGGTAGACTGAGGTGGATGTGGGAGGCCTTGCATACCCCATTGCCATGGCAATTGTGATATTGGTAACCTCGAATGTCTTCCCTCTCACATTCGTCCTCATTTTACCTCCATTATCACCAAAAACAACCAACTTCTGATAAAATTCATGACACAATTCATGACTTCATCGAACCAACTAGTCAATCCCCATTCTTCAATGATTCTCACCACCTCATTCGAATGTCCAAGACTGGTATTTTCAACATACCTCCCACATGTGAGCCCATTTTCTTCAATCCACTGCCTTTTAGCATCATGTCTTGCCTTTGTCCTCCGCTCCTCCTTATCTTCGGGGCTAGGACCTTCTCTGGTCCTTTTCTGAGAAGTAGAGCTAGGGGGTGGGGACACGCGCCCTGTCTTCTTTGTTCGGGCCATGAGGTACAACAGTGCCCCAAGACCAAGAACCATCATGCACCACCACCACAGACTCTTCCCATATTCCCATAGTTGCTCCATTTAACCGAGCCATTGCCTTGAGTAGATGGAATTCAGAGGGATTAACGGACAATTGAGAGTTACGAGTAAGAGTTAAGAACTAGGGTTTATGAAAAGAACTCGACTAAATCCCACTAGATCTCACTCCTAATCAATAGAACGTAGGTAAATTGAGGTTTGGAGGAACTAAATTGAAGGTTAGAAGAGACTAGGAGGAGAGGATGGGGTTTGGGCTGATATGATTTGGGGGGGAAAATGAAGAGTTTTTCGAAAAGATCTAATTTAAAACCCCCATTTTTGGATTTCTAGGCAAAACCTTCTGGAAGGTTGATAGAAACCTTTCAGAAGGTTTTGCTCATTGGACAAGATCTTCCAGAAGGTTTCTGACTAAACCTTCCAGAAGGTTTTGCCTTTGCTGCAAAACTAATCCTTTGTTCAAAAATTGATATCCAATCCATCCTTTCTCCATTCCAAAGCCTTTTAGCACATTTTCTAGGTCATCTAACTTACCAAAAACTTGAACCACATTTATGGACCATAATTTTAATCATGCCCAAAATTATTTCCGCAATTGCATCATGATTTAAGATTTTGATATTATTACACATGAAGCATGGGTTTCAACCTAAACTACCAAAATTAATACCCAACATGTAAACGCGGATTCAAACAACACAAGTAATTGTAAGCCTTTTCAAATATCAAAAACTTGACCAATATTCTGCCATTCTACATGCATGGAGCTATTTCACACATTTCTTAGATGATTGAACTAAGCACACATGAGCAAAACCATGGTCTCAAATACTAGTCTAAAGTATGCACCTACCCATTAATTTTCAAACTCGTGTGTGTGTGTGAATTGAACAAGTAATTGGTGCATTTATGCAACAAAATTTACATTCGAATAGCCTACCAAATTCAGTTTCAATGCAAAACTCACCAGAGGTCACTCTTAAACAATGAAATGCACTCTAGTTCTCCTGGTATGCATTCCATGTGGACATGTGAGATAGAATTTTGTGTTCAAAACAAAGTGTACTGACATGCAATCCAAAAATGAAGTTCATATATGAAAAAAAATAAAACAACCTTGGCATAATCTCATGAAAGGAATGCTAGGGCATTAGACAGCTAAACCAACTTTTCTTGTTCTTTCAAAGTATGCTTCCCCCATGCTTTCTCTAGATCATTTAGGACTTTCAAGGGTTGTAATGAGGCCTTGGGGTGCTAATGAGGTAGGTGAAATGAAGGATATAGGATGACAAAGAGGGTTGTTCTGAGTGAATGACCTTTATTTCAAAAGAAAATCTCCCTTTTATTTGATTTATAGGCTAACTCCATCACCCCACTCTTTGTTTCTTCTCACCCATTTTATTCCTTTTTCTTGGATTTTCATTCCTTTTTTTTTGTAGTCAACTCTTTGAGTTTTGACATCATTCATCCCTTTTGTTGGAATTTCCACACCACCATTCCTCACTTTTTGTAATCACTCATATGTAGCTTCAAGGAACAACCGAGGTAAGGTAGATATTTCTTATTTTCATTGGCTTGGTCAAATGTGTGGCATAGAAATGAATTTAAATTAGGCTCCATCATGGCACTAGGGATAATCTTTACACAAGAAAAAAAGGTTAAGGCTCAAAGTATTTCAAAGATGGCCTAAAATTACTTCCAGGTGTGCATGGGATGGCATTGTATAATCGAAGCAAGTCAGTCTACTATCCGGATACACCTAACCAAAACAAGTATGATGAGACTATTGAACAAATTTGACATTGAAAAACTGTTTTGTTAGTAAATGTAAGTTCGCTCCAAACAAAGATTGGCATTAAAGCTCACATGGGCACTTACTCATCTCCACTACTTATGTCAAGCCTAAAACGTGAATCCAATCTATAAATTGCTGAAATTACACATTCAAAGGTCACATACAATTGAGTTAAAAAATCAATACACATGTGATACTCATGCATAGGGTCCATGGTATGCTCATGTGCTCAAAGTTCACAACAAAGATAAATAAGCTATCCAATCTATACACTCTTCATAAGGGAATACATATCAACTTTTAGATATTTTCCATAAAAAATTTTCAAAATTTTTACATATTTTTCACTTATGCAACTAATGCAAGCAAAAATCTGTATCACAAAAATAAAAAAAATATATATATTTTTAAACAACATTTGTGTATCAAGCAAATGGTGCACCTAACCCCCCAACTTGAATCATGCATTGTCCTCAATGCAAAAAAAAGATACGATATGCAATGAAGGACAGGAAAAAGATGAATAGGGTTAGAGCGCACCTCACAAATGAGCTTTTGACAAAAGCACCAAGATCTACAATGAAGAAAATCAATACTATACAACCAAAGAAAGTAAGTGACATGAGATAAAAGTAACATAGGCAAACAAAAGCAACTGTACACTGGAAGTTATAAACGCTAGTTACTCCTCCCCCAAGTCCGGATAAACCGGGTCAATCAATTCTTCCTCCATTTCTTTCCCAGCAAAATCCTCAAATAATGGCTTAAGTCATTGGCCATTGACCTTGAATGCTTGGCCGTTCTCTGGATTTGTGATTTTAATAACTCCGTTGGGGTAGGCCACCTGCAGAAGATAGGGACCATCCCAACGGGATCGAAGTTTGCCCTAAAAAATTGAGAGGCGAGAATTGTGTAAGACCATTTTTTGCCCATACTCAAATGATTTCCTCAGAGTGGAGTTATCATGAAAGATTTTGGCCCATTATTTTGAGATTTTTGAGCTCTCATACGCATCTTGTCGAATATCTTCCAACTCATTCAGCTCTAACTTCCTATAATCACTGGCCGTTCTCAAATTAAAATTTAAAGTTTTAATGGCCCAATAGGCATTGTGTTCCATTTCACTAGCAGGTGGCAAGCCTCTCCATAGACAAGCCTGTAAGGAGAAATGCCCAAAACAGTTTTAAAGGCAGTGCGGTATGCCTAGAGGGCATCGGTCCATCTATCGGACCAATCCTTCGTGTTTGGGTTAACCAATTTTTCTAGAATGTTCTTGACCTCCTTATTGGCTAGCTCGGCTTGGCCATTTGATTGTGGATGATAGGCAGTGGATACTTTGTGAGTGACTCCATATTGAACGTTAGAGATGCAAATGGCCAATTACAGAAGTGTGATCCACTATCACGAATCATTGTACAAGGCATCCCAAATCTTGAAAAGATATTATCCTCGAGAAACTTGACTACGACCCGATTGTCATTAGTCTTGGTCGAGATAGCCTCCACCCATTTGGACACATAGTCCACTGCTAAGAGGATGTACAAATAACCAAATGATATAGGGAAAGGACCCAAGAAGTTGATGCCCCAACAGTCGAATATTTCTATGACAAGTATTGGTGAAAGAGGCATCATGTTTCTTTGGGTCACATTACCCAAACGTTAGCATCTATCGCATCCCTTACAAAACAAAACATAATATTTGATAAGAGAAGGCCAATAAAAACCTGATTGAAGGATTTTGGTTGAAGTCTTTTTCGCCAAGAAATGTCCATCGCAAGCTTGTGAATGGCAAAATACAAGGACGTCCTGCTGTTCATTTTCAGGTACGTATTTCCTCATGATTTGGTTAGGGCAGTACTTGAACAAATATGGGTTGTCAAAGTAAAAGTACTTCACCGCCATCATAAATCATCTCCGATCTTCAAGGCTCCATTGTTGTGGTATCTGTCCTGCATAGCCCAAAAATGACCGGACGCCCTTGATGGCTCCTGGAGTGGGGAGGTTGGAGATGGCCTCCACCTTGGATTTATCAACTTCAATACCCCTTGCCAAAACTATGTGGTCAAGCACAATTCCTTGTGTCACCATAAACTGACACTTTTCCCAATTCATGACTAGATTCTTCTCCTCACATCTTGTTAGAACTCTCTCCAAGTTTGCCAAATATCCCTTGAATTAATCCCCAAACACCGAAAAATCATCCATAAAGACCTCCACTATCTTTTTCACCATGTCATTGAAAATCCCCATCATATAGCGTTGAAACGTCCATGGAGCATTGCATAATCCAAATAGCATGTGGCAGTAGGCAAAGATACCATTGGGGCACGTGAAGGTGGTTTTCGCTTGATCCTAAAAAACAATCTCGATCTGATTGTAGCCAGAGTATCCATTTAAAAAGCAGTAGAATAGATGCCCTGCTACTTGTTCTAGAACTTGATCAAGGAATGGCAATGGGAAATGGTCTTTTCTTGTGCAAGCATTCAGCTTTCGGTAATCAATGCACACCCTCTATCCGGTGATCACTATTGTAGGTATAAGCTCATTCTCGTCATTCTCAACCACTGTAACTCCGGATTTCTTAGGTACTACTTGCGTTGGGCTAACACACTTACTATTGGCAATTAGAAAAATGATCCCCACATCAAGTAGTTTCAGAACCTCATCCCTCACCACCTCCTTCATGATGGGATTCAACCGTCTTTGTGGTTGTCGGGAAGGTTTGGAATCCTCCTCAAGATATATGTAGTGGGTACAAATGAGAGGGCTTATCCTCTTGATATCCGTAATGGTCCACCCAATTGCTCCTTTATGCTTTCTCAAAACCTCCAAGTGTTATTTTTCTTGTTCCATGTTCAATGTAGAGTTAATGACCACCAAAAATGTTTTACCTACCCCAAAAGAGGCGTACTTCAAATGAGAGGGCAAGGGCTTTAACTCCAAGTTGGGCTTTTGTTCATCCGATGAAAATATTTTATTTTCTCGATGGGTAAGTCTTCAAATATAGGTATCCACCATTCCATCCCTTTCATATCTTCTACCTCCTCTTGCTCATCATAATTCTCAAGATCCACAATTCCTTCTTTCTTGAATTTCAACATCTCTTCCAGCTACAAGTGCTCTTCAACCAAAGTGTCAATTCTATTTACCTCACTTACTTTCTCATCATCACTCAATTGCTTTGCCAAGTTGAATACATTGAGCTCCATTGTCGTATTCCCAAATGCTAACTTCATTAGGTCATTTAT